AGCTGGGATTATTTATTATATCAATTCTATTTAAAAAAAAAAACACACACACACACACAACCTGAAACCCTATACTTTATTCATGGATTTTCACTCAAGGAAGAAAAACAGCAGTAGAGCTATTAAAGGAATAAAACAGCATAACATCATTATTGGCTGACTGATCTATATTCCACTAACAAAATAAGATAACTGCAGTTGCAAGATAAAAAGAATAGAAACCTAGAGGACTTAAAATGCAACTTAAAACCCAGATCAGAAGAAGAAAATACAGCATCCACCCAGTAAAAAGCCCCATCTGAAGAGAGTCAGTTGCCAAACACAAGGTCAGTTGCCAAAGGCCTGCCTAACACATACAAGGACATGTTTAATGTTGACAACATAAAAAGCAACAGAGGCAATAAATGTAGGTGGGACATTTATTGCGGAGTGCAGAAGGAAAGCAGAGCTGGCCCTGCCATGTGGCAAAGTGAAGTAATTTGCTTCGGGCAGTACCATGAACGGCAGATGGAGACTGCAACTGGTGTTTGCAATGGCTTTTGTAACACTTTTTACAGTTCTGAACTAATTTGTATAATGCTGTATGTAGCTACTCAGAAACCTCCTCCTGTTTTTAATGGTTACTAAATAATGTAGCAAATCAGCAATGTTTTGATGGCACCTTTTTACAAAAAATTTTTCAGAGCATTGCTGAAATCATATCAATAATTTCCTTCCTTGGGATTGGAATCTATATTGGACATTTCCAGTCTGTGGGCCATTGTTTCATTTTCCATATTTGTTCACATAGGTTCATTAGGATTTTGACAGATTCTGTTTCTGCGGCTTGAAATATTTCTATTGGTATTCCATCTACCCCAGTGATTTATTTTTTCCTAGTACTTTCAGAACAACTTTCATTTCACTTTCTAGAACTGCAAGTTCTTCATCATAGGATTCTTCTTCAAAGGAATCTGTCATCCTTTTCTGTATAGAGCTTCAGTATACTCTTTCTGCCTTCTGTTTATTTCTCCTCACAAATAGTGTGCTTCCCTGTTGGTCATTCAGCATTCCTAATCTAGGCTTAAATTTCCCCTTGATTTCTTGGATCTTCTGGAAGAGATCCCTCATTTTCCCCCTTTTATTGTTGTCTTCTATTTCTTTGCACTGGATATTGCAATAGTTCTCTATATTTCTACATGACAGTTGCTGAAAAGTTGCATTCACGGTTTTGACCCTGTTTCTGTCATCTTTTACTTTTGTTTCTCACCTGGCCTTTACATTTTACAGTTATTCTTGTTCATGGTCAACTGAGTTTGCAAATGCAATTCTGTTCCTTACATGGATTTTAAATTCATGATGAATACTATTTAAATTATATTTTGGCACTACAATTCTTTTAGTGTTCTTTCTCAGCTTAACTCAAATGTTGGATATTTACAGTTCATGGTCAACACCACAATCTGCTACTAGTCATGTTTCAGCAGACAAGAAACTGCTTCTCCATCGCTTGCTTCCAATTATGTATTCTATTTAATTTCTTTATTGACCATCTGATGATATCCATGTGAACAGACATCTGTTTGGTTGTTTGAAGCATGTATTTGCCTATACAGATCGTTGGTTTGCAGAACTCTATGAGTCGTTCTCCTGCTTAATTTCTGTTTATTATGCTTCATTATGTATGTAATGCATATATAGGAGTAATTAAATTACTGCTGTGTTTCCTCTTCATTCGTGCGTATAACACAGATCACACAATGCTTCACACGTAGAGCTGAGAGCACTTTCAGTGTCCATAACATGATGTAAACTGGGGGAGGAGGATGGGAAAATTATGTTTCTGGATTATCAGAGGCCAGATAGAAAGGAAAACAAAAGAGGGTCCAAACTTAGAAATAATTATATACACCATAGTTTAATAGACAAGATAGTATAGAACTGGTGTGAAATCTGGGCTATAAAAAACATAGATGTGGATGTAGGTCTAGATTAGAGCCTGTAAGATTATATTTTAGAAGAAACTTGTTGTGTTACTTATTATTTTAGAGGCAGCTAGGCTGATTTTACCTCTGTTGATCCAATAGGTTATGGGCTGTCAACACACTGCATTTTTGTTATCTGCTGGCCGGAAAAACACAGGACACTCCAGGTAACTTTAGTGACCAATTCTCTTTAGTGACCAATATCAGAAATATACAAAAAGACAAAAGGCAAAACTAAAGAATTCTTTTGCATTTAAGGGTGGCATAAAATGTGAAAAATCTCTGTCAGAATGCCTCTAAAATGTTTTAAAGTAATTTTTGAAAGTAACAAAGTCTTGTTTATTATATTTAAGTAACTGAAGTATTACTCATTACACCTAAATAGTAACTTGTAACTACTAAGTACATTACTACTAGTAGTAAAGTAACTATCTTCAGCTAGCAAGTGACTTTCATGCTGCAATACATACAAATGATACAGACACAGAGTTGGAGAGCCTCCATATGATGACTGGTGTGTACAGGAAAAAGAAGGAATCTATTCTCCCAGCAGTTTCCATTCTACTGGCTAGTTGGCCAGCACTGAATATGACCCTGAAGTCTGGATAAATATTTAATCACTGATGAAGCCAGTTTTCTCAGAATCCTAACTATTGAGGATCTGGCCAGTTTTACTGGATGATCCAGGGAAATGCTGCTTGGCTGTGTGTTTCCTTTCCTTTATTTCCTTTTCCTTTTCATAGTTCTGTTAAGAGTGTATGCAGCACAGACCAGATATGTCTAAGCAATGGACAATCTAGGGTGGGGATCTGCTTCTTTGTGATTAGGTGAGAATTAAGAGTACCCCTGGAATCTTCCACATCAGTTTCCGGCCGTAAACCACAAGACTACATTTTCATTTTACCAAGGCAAAATGTTGTCATCCATTTCATTGAAATGCCCATAATATCAAAACAAAACTGATTTGCTTGCCCCCTTTTTCTTCACTAACTAACTCAAGAAAAAGAAAGGGAGATAACATGATTTCCAATTTGTATGATGATGGTTCCCAGTCAATGGATAAACCATAACATGTGCTGTAGTTGGAACCTAAGGAGATTTCTGGAATTATACATTGCATTTGGGAAGGATATTGTGATGGCTAACATTTAAATATATGACTACACAGATATTTGTGGTAAATTGTTATATCAGAGCGAGAGAGAGCGAGAGAGAGAGAGCTCTGATATAACAATTTACCACAAATATCTGTGTAGTCATATACATATGTGTAGTCATATATATATGAACTGACAAAAATAGAGCTGCTAAACTGTTTTTAACAACTTTAGCAGTTCTAGAATTTTGTGGTGGTACCTTCCAAAAACATGATATTTGGTGCAGGCTGAATTGGGCCTAAAAGTTGAGTTTGGGGAGGAGTGATGTGACATGTGGCACACAACTCCTGTGCAAACAGCACTTTGGCTCCTGCTGTCAATTAAATGCTTCCCTTGATCATCTGCAGAGGATCAGGGGAAGTGAAATTATCTCCATCACTGAAGCAATGCATCACTTTTTTAAATTAAGAAAATATTTTTCTTTCCCTATCTGTGTATACTGTGTAACTGCCCATGGTCACAGTGGTGCCTTTGAGGTAGGGGTGTGGAGGGGAAGAGGGGAGGTTCAGCTTTCGTTTGAGAGGCACAGCCTATCACGCAGGTTATCTTACCTTATTTGAAAAGGAAGAATCATATTACACAAGCAGCTGTGTGTATAGGATCTCTGCATGGTACACTAACAACACACACTATTCAGTTGTGTGTATGAGGAGAGGATGATGAGCAAGCCTATAGCCAAAGTGAGAGAGCTGCCTCTGTTGGAGCTGTTAGCAATTCAACATGCAAATTAATGCACGATCGCTAGAGATGGGTGTGAACCACAGTTCAGCCCAGTTTGGCACGGCACCCACACAGGTGTTCCATGGGCTCTGTGCACTCCCCTCTCCTGCCTCCTCTGCATGCTTGCCCATTTCCCAGACAATGCACGCTTCCCTCTCCGCCTCCTCTACACAACTGCCCACTCACTTATTGCAGCGTGTGCTCCTCTTTTCTGCCTCCTCCAAAAGCCCCGCACTCAGATGAGGAGGTGGGGCAGGGAAGCCCACAGAGCTGCCTGCCTTTGAGTGTGCAGCCATCAGAAGAGGTGCACTGTGATCGGTAAGTGGTCAATTGTACTAGGAATGGGGGAGCGTGCAGAGGAGGCAGGAGAGGGGAGTGTACGGCATCCGCAGAACACCTGTGTCAGTGACACACCAAACTGAGCCAAGCCACTGAGCTGCGGTTCATACCCATCCCTCATGATCACATCAGAGGAAGGAAGTGCTTGTAAACTAACATGCTGGGTAGCTTGCATGACCTCCTCTCCTCTTCTTGATCAATTAACAAACACTCCATTTTTTTTGGCTGGCAAAGATTACCCTTCCCATATCTTCAATTATTTTAAAGCCTTTGTTCAGGCCCACATGTTTTTTGGGACATCCACGTAGGAGAGGGTGCCCACCATTTTCTCAGCCATGAGGCCTGAGAGAACCCACCTTTTGTTTCACAATTTTAACCTTGTTCTTCATTCCATCTATTGATCTCTGGAGTCTTTTGGACCTTATTGAAACTTATGTAATCAAGATCAAGCCTAGAACTTTCAGCATCAGTGAGTAAAGATCGATTTTCTTCTTATATTAAAAGCAATGTCTGAATAATTACTTAAGCTGGTTAAATGCAGTGGAATGTGTATTTTGGGGGGACTTGCTACTCAATTTTCACTCCCAAAGTTACTAGCGTTTTCACTGTGCAATTAAGAGAATTATATTCCTCTCTGCTGGTGCTACAAAGCCTATCATCACATAACTCTTAACAGCCTCAAGCAGCAGATCCTAAAGGTGCTAGCGGTCAAAATTGGGTGTGCCGTGTGCTCTGCTCTTTGTCCCCAAAGTTAGGCCACTATTCCCAGGGGCAACAAAGGATGGTGTCCTGCTAGTCCAGTTGTCTTTTGTGCCTCCAGGGAGGAAGAGGAAGAGCCATCTTGTCGTCCTGGACAGGAGGACTGTCATCAAGCAGGTAAATATCAAATTGGATCTGGCCCCGTTCAAATCCCTAAATTCACCTTGCAGCTATAAGGAGAAAGAATTATTTATTTATTTATTTATTTATTTCTATCCCGCCTATCTAGTCTTGTTAGGACCACTCTAGGCGGCTATATGTAATACTAAGAGAGAAGTCTTCCTGACAGTGTTTTATGCGGATGTGAGAGATAACAGGTAAAAAGAGGGAAAAAGCAAATGTCACCACAGTAATACTTTGTCCAACAAGCATGCTTCTGTAAAGCAGCAGTGTACAATCCTGCATCGCAGGTGGCCTCCCAAGGTCTAACATGCATCTCAGGCCCATCACCATTACTGAATGCACAACCGCTAGTAACTGGAGCCCATGTTTTTCTGCTGCTCATTTTGGTGCAGAATTAGCAACCCCACTGTTGGAACCTCCTCTGTATCCTGGTTAAAGCCTAGAAAAGCTGGACTACAACTGCATAGCTCTTCATAGGCTGAGATACGTGGAGAGTTACAATTTTTTTAAAAAGTTATTTTTCCAAGTTCTGATCTCTGAGATCTTGAGCCCTCATATGATACCTGTGTGCGCGCATGCATGCAAGTATGTGACCCATGAAGATTTGCCAGGTCAGGATCATCCCATCCCCCTACAGGGCCAGCATTTGAGAACAAGGAGTACATCCTTATGATGTCACAGAAGTGGGGCAGGCTAGGGTTGGTAGGGAGTCAGAGTGTTCCGGCTTTGCACCACCATTGCCAAAGCTTGTGCAAGAGGAAATTTCATAACTTGTGTCCACATCCTGTCTTTCTTCAGGGGCTCAGCTTCAATGCACCAAAAAGCTAGGAGTAGGTTAAGGGGACTGAGGAGGGAGACAGTGGAGTTCCATACTTAGCACCCATCACACCATTTAAAGTAACATTTTCACACTGAGACAATGAATTCTGCAGCAGTTGGAAATACATGGAGATTGGTGCCCAGGCTTTGGAAGTCTCCTGACACATGAACTTCTCTCCTCCTCCAGTGCCACTTTCCTTAAGATGTGTAAAATACCAGGAGACCAGAGAAGCAAAGCAATTCCTTGAAACTTCAAGACAACACCCTGAAACCTAGCAAACCTGGACCCCTAACCCCACAGGACCAAGACTGTGGATCTGACTCCATTTCTCAAATTCAGTGTCTGCTACTTTTTGAAAACAAGACCTGCATATAAGATGTAGTGGGTGAGAAAGGAGAAAGTCACACACAGAATGTTTTTCAGGAGGAACAAGGTGGCAGAAGGAAGAAAAATGAGGGCAGGGTTGGTGCACACATTCTGGAAGATGTATTTGAACTTTTTTCCTGGAAAACATCATAAGGCATTTCAATTTAATTATACGAAAGCTTCCCATAAGTTTCCTTCTTCATTTCTCTGCTCCCACAATCTTTATGCATAGGAGGCTGGTAGACATTAAGTTTTTTACCGTCTTACTAGTCAACTTTTCCCATCTTTCCAAGTTCTACCAGGAAGGTGATCAAATGTTAATCCAACCACATTCTAGTTTCTTTTCTTCTTAGCAGCCAGCTTTGTATGTGCTTTAGCATTACGGCCTCAGACCAGAGGAAGCTGTTAGTGTTCCTGGCCTGCCTGTGAAATGGGAACAGGCAGTGCAATCATGACTCGATGGGCCAATTGTAGAGGGTTAGGATTAGGAATGGATCTAACTATTCATTAGAGGTAGCCTGTAGTTAGAGCTGAAATCACAGTTTAAGCCTTGTTATTCCACCAGTGTTTTGTATATGGAAACTCCCAAAGACATCACTTATATCGTAAAGGCTAGCTACAAAATAAAGCATACAAATGCACAGTCAGCCCTTGCGGAATTCCCTTTTCTAATGATGTGCACGGCATAGGAGGTTAAGATCTATTGGGGAAAAAAAGGAGTAGGGATGGGAACCTGTCCAAATTACTCCATATCCAAACCTCCTTCAGCCTAGGGACACATTCACATTGCTGACACAAAGTCAGTCTAGAGTGACAGTAATCCTCAACAATTTCCAGCCTGTCTAAACTGGAAGGGACTTAATTTCCACAAAATGTCAGCTCACCCAAAGGTTGTGTGGCTGGAACCTGGCATCACTGCAATCCTAGATCCATTTACTTGAATGTAAGCCCTGCTGAATTACATGAGATGTACTTCTGACTAGGTCTGTACAGGACTGTGTGGTAAGACTGCCGTTCTATGTACTGTTACTTGAAGAAAGAGCCACTGAAATTGGTGGGACCAGCTTCCACAGAAACATCCATAGGATAATGTTGTTAGTTTAGCACACATTTTGTGTTGTGGATGAGGGTGGTTTTCAAGTTTGCAGAATCTTCTGAAAGTTGAGTCATGGACTTCTTTCTTATTAGACTGAAGCGTTTTGCTACTCATCCAAGTAGCTTCTTCAGTCTGAAGTCCAGTTGCCATGACTCAACTTCCAGATAACCTCACTTGGATGAATGAGAATCTTGCAAAATCTTCTTTGTGTCGTTGTGGTCATTGTTCATACCCCAAGACCCCTGAGATAACCCAGCAAGAGTCAAGTTCAAGGCAGTGGCTTAAAAACAGCAGTGGAGAACTAAGGACTGAGGCATGTCTGAATGTACTGAGGTTCAGTCATCTGTTTTCAGCAACAAGGCCAGGCTCACAGCCATTTATACAAAAAGCTGTTCTTGAGTTTCCCCCAAACTATATTCCAGGATGTGCAGCTCAAAAGAGAGAGAGAGTAACTTTTCCCAACAGTGCTCAGTCTAACTTGGACAGGGTGAGAGTTCTTAAGGTTATTAAGCAACAGGGAAGAAGAAATCTTGGTACTTATTGCACATTGATCTCCTAGCCCGTCCTAGATGATCTACTGTAAATCACACTGTGATCTTCCAGAAGATCCTTGCTGCCCCACTTTCAATTCATCCCAGATGTTTCACCTCCAGCAGAGTGTTCTTCCTGACTCCCAAACATATGTGCAGAGAAGTCAGCTGCAACTGATTTGAACTGTGAACCAACACAACGATCCTGCCAAATGGCACTGCCTTCTCAAAGCTGAGCTTTTCCCACGAAGCAGCTCCATGGCTGCCTATTAAATGCATAATCCACAGAACCTGTGCTGTTTGTTTTTAATGTATTGGGAAAAGCTCTCAGTGAAAATTGAATCCATTCCTTGGAAGAACTGAATGTTAAATAAATAATAAATAAAATAAATAATAAATAATAACCGAACGAGGTTGTGGGCTGACAAAGGGCGCCCGTAAGAAGCATGGGGCAATGTTGTTTGGGGTCCCTCTGACTTCAGAAAGAAACTGGCAGTTTGTCTTAACCTACAGGTGGTCACAATCACTACCATGGGGGAAAGACAGCTGCTGTTAAAACCTCGCCTTCATAAAATTTAAGACATCTGCATTGTGTCTATTAATGTGCCCCCTTCCACTTTTTTTTTGGCTCCTAAATGTCTTAATGTCCATAGGTTTCCGGTTACATTTGGCTAGCCAAAACCAAAGATACGAAATAGCTGCACCATCTTATACTTGTGTGTTACTGCTCTGGTGCTGATCAATAAAAAAAAGTCCTACATGGTGACCCCTGAGTATAAAACATAATCTCTATTCTCTGGCAAACACTTCTTTAACCAAGCAATGTGGAAAATAAGTCATTATTTCCCACCTGGAATTTATACTCCAGTTTTTCTCTCTCGTGAGCCCAGGGTAGCAAACATTTATCTCATCTCTGACAACAATCCTGTGGAGTAAATTGGGTTGAAAGACAGCGACTTCACTGCACTGAGTGAAGGAAGGATGTAAATCTGTTCCTATACTGTTGTCACTGGTCAGCATGAAAAAAACACAAGTTTTCTCCCCTTGTGAGAGTTTATCTGACTTGTTCACATTTTGACTTAAAAAAAAAAAACCCTTCTCTTTTTCACAAGAAAACCCTGGTATTTTCTGCTGAAAATCTTGCAATCTCCGCAAAACATAAAGTTTTTTAAAGTAAATTGCAAAGATTTCATTTTTAAAAATACTGGCTTTAGTTAATGCTTTTACTGACCAAGAAAATGTTGGTCTTTTCACTCTTTTGTTGGAGCAAAATATCTCACTGTGGTAGCTCCTTTTTTCAGCACGCTGTCTCTACACCTGGGGGACGGGCCAAACACACAGTTACATGGCTCAGTAATACTACAAGTGAGAAGGATCTTGGAATTGTTGTTGATCACAAGCTGGGTATGAGCCAACATATGCGACTGCAAGGAAAGCAAATGCTATTTTAAGCTGCATTAACAGAAGTATAGTCTCCTAAACGCTTGAAGTACTAGTTCCCCTCTTTTGAAGCACTGGTTGGGCCTCATCTTGCCCATTTATGGGCACCGTACTTTAAGAACGATACTAACAAACTGAAACAAATTCAGAGGGCAACAAGGATGATCAAGGAACTGGAAATCAAGCTCCATGACTGAAAGAACTGGGCATGTTTAGCCTTGATAAAAGAAGACTGAGGGGAGATAGGGTAGCACTTTTCAAATACTTGAAAGGTTGTCATACAGAGAAGGGGCAGGATCTGTTGTTCTCAATCATCTCAGGACATGCAATAATGAGTTCAAGTTACAGGAAGCCAGATTTTGGTTGGATATAAGGAAAAACATCCTAACTCCAAGTGGTGCAGAATGCGGTGGCCAGACTCCTTAGCGGAGCGAGAAAATACCACCATATTTCTCCTATTTTGTCCACACTGCATTGGCTGCCCATTCGGTTCCGCGTCGACTTTAAAGTCTTGATGCTTACATATAATATTATGTACTGCAATGGATGCAGGAGAACGGGCTGAGGCTGAACCCGGACAAGACGGAGGTACTGAGGGTGGGTCCCCCCACAGTTGGGGGTTTGGGAAACTCCCTCTTTTTTGGGGGGGTGACTCTGCCTGCCAAGGTTGGGGTGCGCAGTTTGGGGATCCATCTGGACCCAGCGCTCACTATGGAATCTCAGGTGGCGTCGGTGGTCCACACCGCCTTTTATCATCTCAAGGGGATAGCCCAGTTGCAGCCCTACCTTGATGTGGGAGCACTCACCACCTTGGTGCATGCGCTCGTAATGTCAAGATTAGACCACTGTAATGCGCTCTACGTGGGGCTACCTTTGAGGCTGCTGTGGAAACTACAGGTGGTGCAGAATGCGGCGGCCAGATTACTTAGTGGAGTGAAAACATATGAACATATTTCACCCACTCTGGCCGCATTGCATTGGCTGCCCATCCGATTCCACATCGACTTCAGTGTTGATGCTTACGTATAAAGTCCTAAACGGTTTAGGGCCTCGATACCTGGCGGAACGCCTACTCCCACCAAGATCTACCCGTGTCACTTGTGCGAGCCAGGAGGTGAGGCTGAGGAGCCTAACGCCAAGGGAGGCCCGGAAGGAGAAGATAAGAAATAGGGCCTTCTCGGCGGTGGCTCCTCACCTCTGGAACAATCTACCTCCTGAGATTCGCGGGGCTCCTTCGCTGGGTATCTTCAAGAGTCAATTAAAGACATGGATGTTTTGGCAGGCCTTCCCATCAGATAGTTCCTGACGCCCCTTTTTCCTTCCCCTCTACTGTTTTCCTATCTTTGTAAGGTTTTTACCATTTATATTGTTTATATATTTTTATTTTATCATTTTCTGATTGTTAGCTGCCTAGAGTGGTCCTGATCCGACCAGATAGGCGGGATATTAAATAAATAAATAAATAAA